GTCAACGCAGCTGGCACGGCCGGGCGGCGTGCGCAAGCGAGGGCATGCAAGAGCCGCCTTGGGACACAGAAGCAGCACGCATGCGCCCAAGGCCGTGGAAGAAGCGAAAAGCATCTAGCCGCCGCTCTGGGCAGAGACATCGGCTGTTTCAACACGTGGAATGCCGCTGATCGACAATCTGCTGCCCCACTCAGACTGCTATCACTGCTGCAGATGCGCCGCCATGGGACGGCTTCTGACCTGACCCTGACGGCCTCTGGCGGCCTCCAGGGGGCCCCAAGGGGACGTCGGGGGCTCTCCACGGGCCTTCGGATATCACCGCGGACACCCTGGAGGTGTCCGCTGAGGAGGCGAGAGGCAAGATGGGGCAGGAGGAGGGGGGATTGAAGTTGGACGCGTACGAGAAGAAATCTTGCTATACGAAATCTGCGGGACATCCTTCGTCGACTCCGCGCTTCGTGAGTCGTCCCAGGGCTATGCGGGCCCGTCGGCAGGTGCGATGACATCGTGGGGCGCCCGATGGTAGTGCTGTAGGGCCGTCGCCGAACTAGCGAAAAACCAATTGGCAACGTCAGCGCTCTGTATCGTCCCCGCACTGTGCGGTTTCCGCCCAGCGCTTTGCAACGTCACGCGGAGTGTCCTCTAACTGGACAGCTGGTTTGGGATGCCCTCGTCACATCACTACCGTTGAAGTGCCCGCGCGTCAGCGCGGCCTGCGAGACGCGCTGGGAAGTCCTCAGCGGTCTGCGCCTCCACGGCCGCGTCGGTCGCGCCAGACTAGCTGGGCGCTCTGCGCGAAAGCCTGCGCGCGGTAGCGCGGCCGCATACATTTTGCAAACCAGTTTGCGGGTGGGTGGATTCGATTACTGCGCGAGCACAATATAATTTTCACTACATATCTTGCATACCAAATATTGCACAACATAGGTTGCACCACATATATTGCACCTTACAGATTGCTTCACACATACTTTCCCCACATCGATTGCAAAACAGAGTGTTGTTTAGGGTCCACGCCTGCTGGCACTTTTCAATAGTCTGGGTAACTGTCGTTGCCCAGGGTGGTGGGGGGAGGGGGACTGAGGCCCCGGTAACGCTAACGATCAGGCGGGGTCGGGCACGTCGTGGTGGGAATGCGCTGCGATTGCCATCGCGTGCGCGCGGGCACCAGCATGTAAGCCCCCCCGCCACGTTCGATCGTTACCGTCACACGGCTGGAAGGGGGGAAGGGTCTGGCCACGTTAATGGCCGCTACGCGACAGAGGATAACAAACACAACCTCTGGCGTGACGCTGGGTCGCGGTGCTATCACGGCGCCGGCCGGCGACGGACCGCGCGCGGCTGGCGGTGGCGGCAGCGTCGCCGAAGGCGGCCTCGTGGGCGGCACTGCCCGCGGAGGGCGCGGGCGCTGTCAGCAGCTCGCGCGCCTCGGGCGCAGGGGTCAGGGAGGCATGATTGTAACTCCTCCTCGTTCTCCTCCTGCTCGTGGTCCTCGCGGTCCTCCTGGTCCTCCTCCTTATCCTCGTGGTCCTCCTCCGCCTCCTCCTCCTACTCCTACTCCTTCTCTTCATCCTCCTCATCCTCATGCTCCTCCTCCTCCTGCTCCTCCTCCTCGTCCTCCTCCTCCTGCTCCTCTTCCTCCTCCTCCTCCTCCTCCTCCTCCTACTCGTGACTCTTCCTCGTGGTCCTCTTCCTCCTCTTCCTCCTCCTCCTCCTCCTTCTCCTCTCTCCTCCTCCTCCTCCTCCTACTCCTCCTCCCCCTCCCCCGCCTTCTCCTTCTCTTCCTCTCCCGCCTTCTCCTTCTCCTCCTCTTCCTCCTCCTCCTCCTCCTTCTCATCCTCCTTCTCCTCCTCCTCCTCTTCCCCTCGTCCCCCCTCCTCCTCCTCCTCCTCCTCCTCCGCGTCCTCCTCCTCCTTCTCATCCTCCTACTCGTGACTCTTCCTCGTGGTCCTCTTCCTCCTCTTCCTCCTCCTCCTCCTCCTTCTCGTCCTCCTCCTACTCCTCCTCCTCCTCCTCTTCCTCCTGCTCTTCCTGCCATATGCCTCCCCCCATCTCAGACTTGTCATGGGGGAAACTTGTCATGGGGGAGAAAAACGCCACGGTATTTTTCTTAGAACGAACTAGAAGTTCGAACTACTGGGGCCCCAAGGCCGTCAAAAAACTACCTGGGATGAATAATCGGTTCTGGGGAAGGAGTCTAAGCCTCTGGGGGTCCACATTGAAGAATCGGGACGTCGGAAAGACGGGCCCTCCTTGTCAGGCTCCTTGTCTGCCCCCTCCTCTCGCCCCTCCTCCTCCTCCTCCTCCTCCTCCTCCTCCTCCTTGTTCTCCTCCTCCTCCTCCTTGTTCCCCTCCTCCCCTTCCTCCTCTTCCTTCTCTTCCTCTTTCTCCTATTCCTTTCTACGTTCCACGTATGACAAGATTTCCCATATGACCTAGACAATGATTGCATTTAAAGAACTGGGCCCGACTGGCTGTCAGGCGGTTCCGTGTTCGCCGTCGCCGTCTCATTACCGCCTCGTTGCCGCCCGTCGTCTGGGCCTGGCTGGCGGTCTGGCGGTTCCGTGCTGGCTGTCGCCATCCCGTCGCCGCCTCGACACCGCCTGTCGTCTGGGCCTGGCCGGCCGTCGGGCGGTTCCGTGTTCGCCGTCGCCACCTTGTCGCCGCGTAGACTCTTTTTTATGTAAGAAAAAGATTTTACCCCACCCACCCGGGGCAAACGGGCCACTTTTTCGTATTGCAATTTACATATAATCCGGCCCATCGTCCAAACATACAAATTCGTACCATCGAAGGCAGGTAAGTATTGGCCCCCCCCCCGCTCTAACCAAAAAATGCAATGCGCGCGCACTCGTTCATCACAGACCATCGGTTTCTAAATCCCCCCTGCAACATGAACGGGGCGAGGTGCACACGCGCGCGTCGTCGCATGCGCGCGTGTCGAAAACCGGATGTCAAAATCGAGAGTCACGAACATTTGGAGATACGAGAAACACGAAATCGCTACAAGGGGATTCAGAACAACTCGCACACGCTCTCTTGCGAATCCTGAGGACAAAACAATATGTTCCATCTTTTTTTTCATACAGTGGGCCCCTCGCGCGCGCATGTCGAATTTGTTCGGGCGCCCTTGCGCGCGTGCTGTCGCAAAAACAAATTGCCACCAATGGGACGGAGTGCGCACGCCCGCGTCGTCGCGCGCGCACGCCGCAATCTTTCAAACACCATCAGTTTCGCAAGGTTGCCAACACAGGGTGTTTAGTACACAAGTAAACAAACAAAAACAGGGTTTTGCAACATGAGCTGTCAAACAAATCATGCACTCGCGGTCTTGCAACTTCTTCGGGAACAAATGGCCCAACAGGTGCGCTCATCAACTTCTGCCAAACGGGCCTTTTCGCGCCGTATGCCGAACCAATGCGAATGCCCCTGCGCGCATGGTGGTTGGGGGGACCGACCCGTGTCAAATAAAACAACGCGGGCCACTCGCGCGAGTCGGCCTCGCGCGCATCTTGAACTCCGTTTAAAACCTTCATCGCCGACGCAAGAACATCGTCATCGTTATCGGCGGGCGTCATCAACATCGGCGCCGTCATTGGCCTGGCCGTCGCCAACGCCACCGTCGTCACCATCACCGTTACTCCCATAATCGTGTCTACCGTTGTCGGCGTCGCCATGATACCGCGCCCGCCCAAGTCACCGACTCGCATTGACATGACCGCTAGGACGTGCCCAACCGTCAACGCCACCGCGGCCAAGTCGGTCGAGCCAAACTAGCTGGCCGCTGTGCGCGCGAGCATGCGCGGGATAGCGCGGCCGCAAAGATGCACCAGCCCACGCCAAGCATTCATCGCAGTCGCTGCCGCAAGGGTTGTGCAAACCAAGTTGCGGGTGGCTGGTGGGCAGTTTGCAAGTGCCTGGGATTGGCCAACTCTTTGTATACAATAATTGCACGACGTGGATTGCACTACGTAGCTCACGCCACGTAGTTCGTTCGCACACCACAGATGCCACCACGTAACTATCACCATAAAGCTAACGCCACATAGTTTGCAACACGTAGCTGTCGCCACATAGCGTGCACCACGTAGCTTGCACCACGCCGACTGCATCACCCAGTACGCTACAACCCACTGTTTGGAGTCCACGCTGGCTAACAGCTGCGCGTGTTTTTGCCCATTTCCCTTTTCGAACTCATCGTCCTGCACCTTATCCTTGTTCTCATCCTTCTACCATTCCTGCGGGAATCGGAACTGCTTGTTTGGGTATGGGATACAACGGCGTTCACAGAACCCGCCCACCCTCCCGCCTCATATTAATCCTGATGTCCCTATCCTCCTCGTTCTCAACGTCATTGTCGCGTTCGCCGTCGTAGTGTTCCTCCTAGACCTCCTCCTCCTCCTCTTCCTCCTCCTCCTCCTCCTGGCCTTCCTCCTCCCACTCCTCGTCGTGGTCGATGTGGTCCTCCTCCTCATAAAATTCCGCATCCTCCTTCTGCTTCCCCTCTTGCACCTTCCCTCCAGCACCTCGTGCTGCTCCTCCGCGTCGAAGGGACGCAAGACGACAAACAACTACGTCAAGCCGGCGACGATGATGACCAAAGCAACCACGCTGACCACCGCGACAACAACGACGACAGACGCCAACCGACGAAAGAGGACGACGACAACGAGACACGACGGCCGACTGACGACGATAGGTGACACGCGCACAACGGCGGCACAGCAGCTACATTCTATATACGGTAAGACAACTTGTACTGGGCAACATGGAGGGCCGCTTCAAGATGTGTAAACTCGCTTGCCAGTGAAACTGTCCGGCTAACACTGAGCGCGATTCGAAAAAAAAACCTCACTGTCACGCTCCAGAGCGTGTTCCCAGGATGGGTTGGAAAGCCTGCCCCCCGACAGGGTTAAGAACGGGGTTCCCGCGATCGCCCCCTTAGTCAGGGCGCCGCCTGAAGCCGAACTTCTCGAATGAACTCTGAACGCGTCCTCCTCCCGCCGACCCGACGACATCCGACGACCCGACGAGCACCCCCTTCCTCCTCGTACTCGCTAGAAGAGCATTGGCTGGCCGCCTCAAGACAGCATGTCCGCGTACGCGCCCAGCGCCTCCTCCTCCTCCAAGTACCCCGCGGGCGCTTGGCTGATCGTCGTGGTGGCGCCCATCTGCTCCATCGCGTTGCGGGACAACTTCCGCGTGTCGGGCGACGGGATGGCCAGCGCGATCTTGATCTGATTTTCGTCAAAGCACCGCTCGAGGCGGCACGCATGACACAAGCGCACGATGTCCCAAGGTTTCTTGTCCTTGAGCTGGCCCACCAGGTCCTCCAATCCCTTGCGGCTCACAGCTCCGATCTCCATCTCTAGCATCGTCTTCACCAGGTACATGAACACTGCGACTGCTGGCGGCCCGAAACTGTGGCCGTTGCCTTTGTCCTTCATCGCGGCCGCGTCTGCGGCGCCCGCGCTCTGCATGGCCTGCACAGCCTTGATTCTGATGCCCCAGAGGTACGTATCGTAGATCTGGCCCCTGATCTCTCGGAGCTGCTTCGTGTTGATGATGAACTTCTTTACCATGGCCGACAGCATGGCCGTCACCTCTTCGTCGGCTACCTTCACCTCTTTCGGCTTGTCTTTGCTGCGCCTCCTCCCTCCTGTGCCGGCCGCCCGACTGGGCGTCCTGCATGTTCGCGTCCTTCAGCGTCGGGAGCCTGTCGGGTGTCGCCATCGCGGACCACGACCAGAAACTCTCCAGCTGGTGGTACTGAGAGGTGAGTATAGAAATGGCGCTCCAGCTCTGAGAAGGTCACGAAAAAAATGGCTTCAGGACGCAAAGGGCACGTTCTGTCTGGAGACTCGAGAAACTCAGATGGAATCTCGTACGTGTCACATAACATCGGGAATGGTTCCAAGACTCCTTCACATGCATGAAAGTTTCGGCCGTCGTTTGAAAAACTTTGGCACGCACCAGACAGCGATTAGAACGGGTAAGAACGTACAACATATTCTTCCGACCATGCTCGCCACCAAGACCTGCACAACGCTGATGTGTGATCAACCCTTTGCGTGTCTTAGCGCGGTGTTGGCAAAGAACTCCTCCATCCATCCTCAACCCACATACAAAGACACCATCAACCTCGGTCACGACGGCAGGCGGTGGCGGTGGTGTGGTGGTCGGCGGTGGAACTGCAATCAGGGTATGCACATTTTTAGCATGCGACGCTAGTCGATGTTGCTCAGGGCCTGGACAATATTATCCTGCAAGAGGGCGGCGATCTTCCGATCCCCCCAGAGCTCGATAAAATCCCCAGCCTCCTCGTCCTCGGCTAAGTCCTGGAGGTCCTTGAAAGACTGCCGGGCCCAGGGGCTCGCTTTCGGACTCATGTTGATGCGGTCGTCGATGACCGTCGGCGGGGCCACCAGTAGACCCATTTCTCCTAGAGAGTTTGCTAGATCACGTTCTTGTTCAAAACGGCATCTCCCAAAGAGAACGGCCCACCACTGTCGGGACTGATGTTGGTGTCGCAGAGCGTGTTTATACCAAGATATCCGTCGTACTTTCAGAGCGAGAGAAACAGGGGCTAAGTCCCAGCGCTTCAAAACATCGGAGTTACTCAGCTGTTTTTCTTGCCATTTGGATCGGTCCTCGAAGCGTCTCTTTGCATCATGCATCTAAGTTTTCGGGCAACAGCTCCGTCCAGGTGCTCCTCATCTCCCTGCGTCAACACGTTGGCCTCCAAGCCGCTCAAGCTCGCATTGTAAACCACTCCTAAGAAAAGCAGGCGTTTGAAAGTTTTCGAGATCCTAGGGTTTGCAAGGCCCCAGAGTATGCACACCACCCAATAGACATATTCTGCAAACGCTTCTCGATGTCACCTGCGTTGGTGCAGGACGGGGTGGTCCATCCTCCCAGATGCCGAAACGTGGGAAGAATAACACATGGTAACGGATCATGCTTGGCAAGCTGATGGACGTGCTGGCGCGTATCGAGAGAGACAATGATTTCTTTTTTGTTTCTGTTCTGCTGGTAGGAGGCCCCTCTCTGGAGCCACGCGTCAAAGGCATCACCCTCTGCGTTCAGCATCGCGATGCACTCCTCAGGGGTGCCGGGTGATAGCATCATCATGCGAAAAAGGCCATCGATGAAACCCACAAGGCTGGGATCGATGTCGCCGACGTCGAAGCAGTTCGTGATCATCCATGGGGCGGATGTCGTAGCACTTCTTGATGTTCGCCAATACTCTACCAATGCGCAATAGTCCCTCATGAATGGCTCTGGTTCGCTGCTGCATTCCATGGGGCCGCCACAGCCCATGTACAGCCATAGATCTGCGCCAAAAGCTCGCAGGCGTGCACGCATGCGAGTTCGCCTCTGTCGAAATAGAGGTTGAAGATGTGGCGGTGCGAACTCGTTGGTTTGGTTGATACTGCGCACGTGAAAGCCGCATGCGAAGGCGTTCGTCATGTCATGGCTCCTCCCCAATACGAGAAAACATCGTGCTATAAGAAATCCTGGGGCTCACTATTCATCGATCTTTGAGGGTCCTAGGGGTCCCGGGTTAAAGCTTCTGTGGGCCCCTGGGGTCCCACGGGGGATACGATATTCTCGTGGGGCACCCGCTGGCAGGCCGACTGCTCATTTCTTGCGCCCACTGCGCACGACATAGACGCCCGACGACAGACAGACGGCAGACGGCGACGATGACGACGTCGACCGATGGCAACGGCGGCGGCGGCGACGCCTCGGCCAGCGCCAGGAAGCCCGAGCCGCCCTCGCCGCCGCGGTCTGGGTGCGCCCGCAGCGCCCGGCGGCGGAAGGCAGCGCCCACCTGCCGGTGGCCGCGGTCGCAGCTGGCAAGAGGGCGGGTGCTGCGGCGGCGGCAGCTGCTCGGCAGCTGCTCGGCGGAGGCGGCAGCTGCTCGGCAACGGCCGCGGGCGGCGCGGCTGCCGTCGCGAGCGGCGAACGTCTCCATCGGATACGCTCGCAGTCCAGATTCCAGGGCGCGACGGTCCCGTGAGTACGCGATCGCATGGGTAGATTCCGCGCGGGCCATCGTGCCGCTCTGAAGGATCGCGGCTTTCTGAACACATGTGAGCGACGAAAACAAGCGAGTCTCACGCAAGATTTCATGGCGGTCTTTCTGCGTGGTTTCCGTGGGCCGCCAGCATGGCACACCGCGTGGAGAAGAAGGCGCTTACGCGAGATCTTACGCGGAAACTTACGCGCGAATTTCGGCGCAATCGGACCCGCTTTTCTGCGCCGCTCATGTGCCCTGTGCTCCGATTTCTTCGATGCGTAGGCCCCCCCCGACCTGCCGACCTGCTGGACACCTTCCCCAAGGCCGGCGCTTCGCCCCGGGTCAGTTTCTGACGGTCCCGAGGCAAGAAGCCAGCCTCATCAGGCCCAAAATGGAGACACGCGGGGCCGCCTCGATTTGCTCGATGCGCTGGGCGACTTGGATCACGCACTTCGCTCGACATCGGCGCTGCGTTCCAGGCCACTGACGGCGTTCAGCTCTGCGGGACGCCTCCGAACACGGGGCCGGAGTGAATGGCGTCGGAGGCGCGCACAGCTTCGCCGACGCACCGCCGGTGCCTCGGCAGCAGCGTGACGGGGAAGAACGGGCTCCAGATCGACACCTGTGTTCCAGGCCACTGACGGCGCTCAGCTCTGCCGGATGCCTCCGAACAAAGGGCCGGAGTGAATATGGTGTCGGAGGAGGCGCGCACAGCCTCGCCGACGCACCGCCGGCGCCTCGGCAGCAGCGTGATGGGGAAGAGCGGGCCGGAGGAGAGCGCACAGCCTCGCCGATGCACCGCCGAGGTGCATCGGCGGCAGCGCGATGGGGAAGAGCGGGCTCTGGATCGCGCCGCACCGCCGGTGCATCGGCGCTGCGGCGCGACCCCTCGACCCCGTCAGCAGGCTACCACATGTTTACCAGCCTCGAACGTATCCCTATGCCTAAGATTGACACGCCAAAAGGCGATGGCAATCTTAGGGATTCGCCCTCAAAAAACAGGGAATCCCTAAGATTGGCATCGTGATGCTGAGGTGACCAGCATGGGGATAGGGATATGTTCCAGGCTGGTAAACATGTGCGAGGTCTGGAGCGAAGCGCGAACCTGCCGCAGAGGCTGGCAGCGCGCGCCACCGCGCCACCAGCCAGCAGGACGGCAGGAGCGCGCGCCCGTGGGGGCCGCGACAGCCCGGCAGCTCGGAGAAACACCACGCGCTGCCGACCCAAGAAACTCGCGCGGACCTTCGACAGCTGACATGGTTGTTTATGTCTGCGTCGGCTTGTCTTATGTGCTTCGTCACTCCCTTGTGGTTCGACGCAGCCTGGCGCGCAGCCGTGCAGCCGTACTGCGACGACATGTGAGTATTCGGCATGTGTGCTCATGTGCTTTAAGCTCAGCCACTTTTTCTTTATTTGTTCTCTCTCTCTCTCTCTTTCTCTTTCTCTCTCCCTGATGGGGGGACGATTCGAGGGGGGCTCGCTAAAGGGAGTAACACCGAGCTGGAATCGGGGATACGTCTCCGATAAGCCCCCAATATCTAATTCGTACTCCTGGGTGGGATTGGCCCGTCAGGCCCCCATCGAAGATGAGTGGACGATTAGAATGCGATGCGTCCTCCAATGAGCCTACCCCGCGTTCACGCTGCACCTCGGTTTTCGGGTCGTACCTTGGCTTCCCGGCGGCCGTTCGGGACGATCCAGGTACCCCTGGAACGCTCTCGGCGAGGCGCAGCTGCCGGAAAGCACCCCGAGGCATGAAAAGTCTCGAGAGCCATCGAACACGCCAGATACCATGGAACCTCGAACCAGAAACTTCTAATACATACTGAAATGTAGATCGATGCACGTCTAAATAAAAATATACATCCATAGCTATCTGCCTCTCTCCCGCTCCACTCTTTTCTGACATGCCTCGGGCATCCAGTCGACGCGGCGCGGCTGCAGCTCCCCCCCGTCCCCCCGCCCGTCCTTCCCCCTCCCCCTCCTCCTCTTCCTCCTTCCTCCTCCTGCTCCTCCTACTCGTCCTTCATCCTCCTCCTCCTCCTCCTCCGCCTCCTCCTCCTCCTCTTTCCCCTCCTCATCCTTCTCCTCCTCCTCCTCCTCCTCCTCCTCCTCATCCTCTCCTCCTCCTCTCCTCCTCCTCCTCCTCCTCTCCTGCTCCCCTCCTCTCATCCTCCTCGTCCTCCTCCCTCCTCCCCTCCTCCTCTCTCCTCCTCCTCCTCCTCCTCTCCCTCTTCCTCCCCCTCCTCCTCCTCCTCGCCTCCTCCGCCTCACCTCCTTCTCCTCCTCCTCCTCCCCTCTCCTCCTCTCCTCCTCCTCCCCCTCTCCTCCTCCTCCCTCCCTTCCTCCTCCGCCTCCTACCTCCTCTCCTCCTCCTCCTCCTTCTCCTTTCTCCTCCTCCCTACTCATCCCTCCGCTCTCCTCCTCCTCCACCTCCTCCTCTCCCTTCTCCCATCTCCTCCTCTCTCCTCTCCCACCTCCCCTCCCCTCCTTCTCCTCTCTCATCTCCTCCTCTTTCGCCTCCTCCTCCTCCTCTTCCCCTCTTCATCCTTCTCCCCTCCTCCTCCTCTCTCCCTCTCTCCACTCCTCTCCTCCTCACTCCTCTCCTCCTCCTCCTCCTCCTCTCCTCCTCCCCCTCCTGCTCTCCGCCTCCTCCCTTCCCCCCAATCTTCCTCCTCCTCCCACTCCTCCTCGCCTTCCTCCTTCTCGACTCCACCTTCTCCTCTCTCTCTCCTCT